AAAGCTACCACCATGCAAAATTTGAGCGCAATCTGATGAAAAAAATCCATGTATGAAAAATACCAAGTTTTAAGGTTTCAATACTTTTCTTGAATATGATATGCGCCATAAGGTAGAAGTCATTCATTCAAATTTTTCTCTAAGTCGGAGGAAATTTAACATTATATACAGTTCCGAAGTGCTTAAGGCACGGTTTTTCCACTTCCTAAGGCATGCGAGAAAATTGCGAGCTTATTCAAAGTTGGCCACCACCACATGGTACCAACAAAAATGAGCAAGTGATTTTGTTTTCGAAACTATTTCGATGAAATTTAATTTAATTAAACTTATCAACAATAAGAAGATGAAAATGACAAAAGCAACGAAGGGGAAAAATGGTTGATTATTTACCTTGAGTTTGTTGTTGAGGAAATGTTGTTGGGTAATCACAAACTGTATGCCAATCATTGAAGTTTCCAAATCGGTTTTGTGGTCTCTCATGATGCGATAAGTTCGAACATTCAACGGATTTGGCTGCAGAATATTGTAAAGAACATAAGACGATTACTCTAAATTATTATTAGAAATACTTTCTAAACATTTCGTTCCATTCAGCTTGCTTCGGCTGGCATTGCACTGAAGTGCGAAAACAAAATAAAAGAACAAAAATATGTCGACAACGAACGACTTCTAATAATAGTATTTATTTAATCATGCAGTTTTCCAATCATGGACACAAGTTAGAGCTTTTAATTAATTTGGCTCATGGGTCGAATTGAACTGCTTTCTTGATGGCAAATATTTGAGAAGTTTTGACAAACGTTCAGTTGGTATTATTTACCTTAAGCCAATATTTTTTCTAATTATTTAGACGTGAAACGATGGGTTTGCATTTCTGAAGATATTGATAATTTTTACGAACAATGCACATTTCGCGCATCAAATTTTGAAAAACCTGGGAAAAATCGGAAAGCCGTACTTACGTTTAAACAAATTTTTCATTTGAACAATCGATTCAATAGTGTAGAATCATAACTGTCAAACTACTTGCGGCATCGGTCATCATACATATAAAGATGAACAATACATTTTAAACTAACACTAATACGCAAACTTGAAGGAATTGAACGAGTAACATTTTGCCATTTGCCATAAAGACGACTTTTAGTGAGTATTCCAAAAATGTCATGTTCATTTTATTTTCATTTTATAGATTCTCTAGAGTTGTTTGCAAATTTAACTCCCTTGTAACTCTTCCAAATGAACCATTGCATATGGAAATAACACATCGGTCAATAAGTCCCGAGCCTAAGTAGGAAAACAACATTTTTTTGCCAAAATTCAATTTTATTCATCAACATAGTCCCCTTTTAGAGTGATACAATCATTCCAACGCCTTTCTAGCTTTTCGATACCAGTTTTGTAGAACGATTTGTCCTTGGCCTCAAAATAGGCTTCAGTTTCGGCAATCACCTCCTCATTCGAGCCATATCTTTTTCCCTGGAGCATTTTTTTGAGATCGGCAAAAAGCCAGTAGTCACTGGGGGCCAGATCTGGAGAATAAGCCGGGTGGGGAAGCAATTCAAAGCCCAATTCATGCAGTTTGGCCATCGTAACCATCGACTTGTGACACGGTGCATTGTCTTGGTGAAAGAGCACTTTTTTCCTTGCCATATGAGGCCTTTTTTGGCGATTTCCTTCTTCAAACGCGTTAGCAATGCTATGTAATATTCACTATTGATGGTTCTTCCCTTTTCAAGATAGTCGATGAATATTATTCCGTGCGCATCCCAAAATACTGAGGCCATAACCTTGCCAGCTGACTTTTGTGTTTTTGGGCGCTTTGGTCGACTTCCACCGGCTTCTGTCCATTCAGCTGACTGCCAATTTGACTCCGGAGTGAAATGGTGGACCCAGGTTTCGTCCATGGTCACATAACGACGCAGAAACTCGTTCGGATTGCGCTTAAAAATGGTCAAACAGCTCTCCGAATCATCGACACGATTTTGTTTTTGTTCCGGTGTCAACAAACGCGGCACCCATTTCGAACACAGCTTTCTCATGCCCAAATGATCATGCAAAATTGTGTACACACTGCCTTTTGATATCTTTAGGATGTCAGCTATCTCCTGCAATTTCAGTTTGCGGTCGGCCATAATCATTTTGTTGATTTTTGTGATGTTTTCTGGAATAACTGCCTCATTTGGCCTACCAGAGCGTTCAGCATCATCGGTGTCCGTACGACCACGTTTGAAATCGGCAAACCATCGTTTGATGGTTGCAATTGATGGAGCAGAGCCCGGGTAACACTTTTGAAGCCATTCCTCAGCCTGAACGGTATTTTTACCCATTAAATAGCAATGATAAATCAACACAAGAAATTGCTTTGAATCCATTGTTTTGAAAATTACAAAAGTAGCGTCACTTAAACCACTGTAACTAGGTAAATAATAGTCCAAATGTCATGAAATTTTGACAGTAATCTTTTGAAGGTTGGTACTTTCGAAAAATCATGTGGATATTTCATTAGTGGCGCCATACGGTGGTTAGGCTCGGGACTTATTGACCGATGTGTTATTCGGCTCGCCTCTCTCGCCACACAAACACAAAAATTATTGGTCAAGATATGGGATATATCTATTGGTGAGACGTAAAAGAACGCAAGTTTGTCCAACTTCGTAGCAATAAAGAGAATTATGTTTGATGGCAACTAAAAATGGTTAAAAGAATGTATGTATTTTG